GAAACGTTGGTAAACATCGACCAGACTACACAGCGCAACAACCCAGAAGACAGGAATCTTCAAAATGGTACATACTTCCATAGTTTTAACTTCAACCCATTCTTCCTGCCTTACTTCGTTATTCCTTTGGTAATATTATTCTGAATACAGTTATTTTAGTTGTTAGTGTGAATATATCATTTAGATTATTATAGCTTCCAGTTGTTTAACTTCGGACTCATTTACATGTGCTTAATTAAAATACATGTTTGTTATCTAACACCGTTGTATTCTGGTAACACTCTAGAATTCTAGTGCTACTCTGTTCGGATATTGGCCAGGGTGTCGATTAGTTATCCTGTTTCGCGAACACCTTCAGATAGACAACCACTGTCAATTAAAATCCCTACATAACAGTAATTCATTATTATACTCCGGTCGCATTCGATGATGTGTTTCCAACTGCATCAGCTTCGTAAAGTAACCATACAAAATATGCAGGCCTTATTTGTATTGCTGTTTACGTTCATAGATTACTTGATTTTTGTCTTCATTTATTTTTACTTTACTTGCACGTAAACCACTTTTGCAGTATTTGTAATTACATTTTTATTTTCATCCGATATTTAAGCATTACACCAAAATTTTCTTTCCGTGTTTCCTGTTCAGTCAACGTTTTAAGGTTAATTTCACTGTTACTTGTGTCCACCCTCCACATAATATATACCTTGAATGTGAACACCTGCTTCGTGGTAATTCCAGAACTAAGAAACTGGGTGTTGAAAAGGAACGCAGAATAAAGATGCTTTGAAGCATGCCACAAAACTCCTTTTGTCTTTTCCCCCCCATCTTGTCCTGAGACCAGTAGCCTTGAGGCAAAACAGTGAAACTTTAAACAACACAACAATCAAAACCCATACAAATTCTGAAGAAGATGGTTTGTTCTCATCTCCCTATGTTAGGTCTTAGAGGTGCGGAAGGCTACGAGCTGACAGTGAGAGAGGTTCATTATTTGAGAAGCCGTCGGACGTTTGAACAAAGTCACTCGTCTTTTTGTATTTGTTTCAGAACATCCGGGCTAGAACATGAATATACATATATGTGGTTTCCTAACATTATTGCCCTGTGAAAGGGAAACATTAGTTAGGTTATGTTCGAAAGAGACACGCACGTGTTATGAAACACCGTGTATTGATAATTATGCAAATAAGCTACTCATCACTAAAGCCGTCATGTAGAAGTAGATGGTTGTGCGAAATTCTTTCGAAGTACTCGAAACATGTCTGTTACGTGTATGTATATTTCAAATAATTTGTGATTACAGTAAGGGAAAGTGTAAGAAAACAATCAGTCGACTCTTTTCCTAAAAGGAATTTTTAATAATTTGATGGTTTTCGACCAGTAGTCAGAAATAAAGTCATCTGATAATATTTTGTCTTCGACAATATTTGTATTTGTAGTCTATTTTTTATTTTTTTATTTTTTTAAAGTCAGACCAGTGGTGGAATATCTCGGGACCCACCAATGTCTTCCTGTCGTTCCTTTTGACACCCCTGAAACGTCGATAAACTTCTACCAGACTGCAACAACCGGGAAGACAGACATATTCTTTCATTACAGTTTTCACAATATTTTTGTCTAGGGCTGCAGTGAATCAGGCAGTGTTTGAGTTCTCGGTTTCCCCTGACATTTATTCCACCAGCCTACCATCCTTTAATTTTTAATGTGATTAAAGAAAGTTTCCCCCATTCCCAATCACTAGACTGTACTATGATAGTACGGAAACTTGTAAATTTAACCTCACATCGTCTTAGCTACTCACTGTCTTTTATACGAGACTGCTTATTAATGCTACTACGCTCAGACTATAATTTTTAAGCTGACTTCGATTCAATTAAATCCAAAGAGTAACAGGCTACTGAGAAAGAGTAGCATATAATTTATGTCAAGGAGAATTCCTTTAGCAATCGATTTCTGTTGTTATTTACGGAATCTTTAAACTAGAAAATACGTTTACAATTATTATATGAGGGCCTGTGTGTACTTGTGAGAGGCAGTCTATACAAACATAAATCCCCAGTTTCATCAAACGTTTCTTGTTCTGGTTACAGGTACAGCGGCAAATAAAAAGAGAAGAAATCATCTTCACCCGGTGAAATGTCCAATCAGCTGTATTGTGTTGCTGTGGCAAGCCGCTTGGCGGCGCGCAAGTCGTATCGGTGTCCTGTACGCAAAGGAACAGTGCAGAGTTAGTCGCGCTGTGACGTTGTTATGCGGAGGTTGGCTTCCTGCTAGGGCATAGATGTTTGCGCGGGAAACCGGCAAGATCGCGATGCTGTTTGTAGTGTGACTAGGCAGTGTTAACATATTACTAGTGCGAGAGTGTGAAATTGAAGGCTATCTCGTGTTTGTGTGGTGACAGTTCTAGTGCTGGTAACACGTATATCAGTGTATTATGGAAAGCAAGAAAGCTGTTAGAATCAGTGCTTCATCCGGCAGCTTAGGTGAACTCCGGTAGCCTCGTTATAACATCCGCTGAAGTAGACTTCTTTGTCTCACCAATGTTGATGAAATATTCAAGAATGCAAATTAGAGGTAAGTTGGCGCTTTCAAATTTTGTGCCCAACAGTTTTACTTTCTACAACAAACAAAATACCGCAGGCAAATTATGACAAAATATGTTGTTATTACTAATAACAACATCGTATTTTTGTTCAACACAAAATTCATAACGATTTTTAAAAGATTCCGATGTTGAACCTTATTAATGTTAGTGAAATTGCGTACAGAATAATCTCACAGAAGAAACTCGGTAATAAAATGTTATTGTCGTTACTCTGTACTATATCAAAGGCTTGTGGTACATTTACGAATATGAAATTAAATTTACAATTACCTCGCCCATTCCAATAGGGCAGTGTGTGATGACTTTTGAGGTAAAGTGCATTTTTTTTTTTTTGGGCTGGGTATGATTATCAGAATAAACATAATCATTGCTCTGATCGCGATTAACTGTAATGCATATGCTTTGTGTTTTATTTGAGGTAGGGAATGATTTTTTTTAAAAAAATAAATTATTCTCGGAAGGTCTTGTGCGTTATACACAAACATTTTTTCTGTTAGTTCGGCAACGATCTATTGTTATCGAATTTTGTAGAGATATTTACTTATTCGTAAACAGATTATGTTTGTTTATAAATTTATCGCAGTTAATACTTAGGGGAGACGGCCTTCGTTTGGTTAACAGCAAATGTTACAGTAAAGTAAAATGTAATCTGTTTATTTACTGAGAGATTACTCGTTTATTTTCGTTCACTGTTTATGACGAAACGCCCACGGTGATTGTCAGATTGTAATCATTCCGTTTTACGCACGGACATGACACGGAACTTACGTATTTATTACATTTTTAGTTTCGCAGAAATTCCACGTAGCCAGGGACCTCTAAACTGATGGAGTTGTTTTCTCAGAATATGGAGCCCGAAAGGTCAATGAACGGCGATCACATGGCCATACTTTTAGAACGTATACAGTTTTTTTTATAAAATTATCGTAATTATTATTTCGAATCTTATATCAGATTCAAATGGGGTGTAAGGCAAGCATATCCAGCTGCAGAAATATTTATAAGACGCTGTAAATCTGATGCTGACACTTGAGTTTACTACATTTTTTTTTCCGTGGGAAGACGGAGCATTTAACTGGAAGTTATCTTAATTTAGAATGTTTATGAAGTCGTGGGGGGGACTGTGTTCTGTCGTTTATCATGTCACGTGCTGCTCTGAGTTTCCTGGTTGTTATACTTAGTGGCTGGCCAGCCTTTAATTTCCGAACGTGCCTCGCAATCCAATTAGCAAGACAGATCTCATGCGTTCAATTATATTAAAACAATTTTGACCACGTTGTCCTCCACAGATTGAAAATTATTGGTTGTGACGTGCGCTTTTATTATACTAAACCTTATCAGATGTTATTTAGATGTTAATTGATCGAGTCTCATTTTCCACGGTAATGATTCTTTGTGGTAGGGATCTTGTTTACTAACTGAGAAAATAAGATCCCATCTCTAAACCCTAGACCGTATCCTGAGTAATTTTAATAAAAAAACTAAAAACACCTCAACATTTGGACGAAGTTCTTAACATGTCTCGTGTTACTCACTTGTTTAACCCTTTGAAGTAGAGGTTCATTTAAATATTTAAAAATTCAGTGCGTACCGCAAAGAAAACAACTGGTTTCCATTGCCAAGGCCGATTTGTTTAATGCCGTTGAAGAAAATAATCGCTTGTTTGTTCTGAAAAGTGTGTGAAACCAATTAATACATTTAATGTGCAAAATTCTGAGTTGCCGATGTCGTAAGTGGTGCCTATATGTACCACCTACTTTCACACTGTCTTTCTGCGTTTTACCCACAGTGTATTTATAGGTTTTATATGATTCTCAGAGTAAACAGAGCTTATTTTTTTTCTGAAACAGCATTAAACAGTCGATCTTTGATTTTTTTAAGGCATGGGCTGAATTCTTGAATATTATTTCGACGAGTTTGTCTTACCATGTTTATTGCCAGTGTGTAAACTTTCCATTTATATTTCTGAGTTACAAATCTGGATCATTTGATGTTTTTTCTTTGTGTAGTACATCTTGAACCCAAGTGTTTTGCATAAGTCTGGATCCATGCGCTAAATATCGTTCATACAATTTGAGTACTTTTAGAAATGTAACTAATATTTTGAATATCTGAAACAAACATTACGAATACTGACAGGTACAGAGTGGCAATTGCGTGTGTATTAGGTCCACATTTTAAAGTAATAACGCCTCGTAATTAGATTAAGCGACCGAATTAATGGTCTTCATACCCCACAAATTAAGTGCAATGACGCAGTGTGTATAATGGCTATAAAGTACACTAATTTATGATACCAGTTTTGTGTCTGTGGATCGCATTTGGTGTAGTTGGGGGGAAAATGAGTTGGGAAATAATATGACAGGGTTTACTAAGTTTCTAGTTGTAGCATTTATGTCGTCATTTTACGGTAGATGTGTTAGAATTCAACGATAAGAATTTCAGTTCATTGATACTTCATTATCGGCATTTGAACCCCCATACGCATGTAAATTGCCTATCAAAGCTTTTTTTACGAGCTTAAAAAAAAGTGGATTTTTTTTTAAAATTTTACCATTCGATCATATGTGACAATTCTTCTAAGAGGAATAAGTCTGTGTGTACCTGCTGTAATGTTATAAATGCATGGACGTGAACGGGCCACACTGAAACCTTATAGTCATGCTTTTAACACGCTAATGCAGGTAGTATATCAAATTTTTCGCCGTTATTTTCGATGTTTCACGTGGCCAGACTCATTTCTCTAATTATATAATGTGTCTGGCGCCAAACTCACCAGTTTTATTAATTGTAAGTATCGAAACCACGACAAATAGCTACGTTTGTACCGCTGTCCTTCATTTGAAATGAGTGAAGATGAAATGTTGTCTCAGTGTATGAAATAGAGGCACGGGGAAACATATCTTAAGCTTGAGCTTTGAATTAGTAAAAGTATGCGGTTATGATTTTCTCCGCCCGTGTCATGGCCTTTGGAAATCATCCCCATTTTAGGGCCCTCAGTGGACGTAGAGTCTGACTTACCGTAGACAATAATCGGGTAGGCGGGTTTTTTTTTTATTTGTAGTGTTCTGTCTGACGACAGGTCCATATATTATGAACAGGATCCTTCCAACCTCTTCAGGTTGTCAGGGACCTGCTCATACATATATACATTCTTGGCAGAGATGATCAGAAGTGGTTTGCCATTGCCTTCTTCTGTGTGTGAGTGGAGTAATTGTTGGGATGCCACGGAGAAACCGGGGAAGCCCCCGGAGGAAAACTCCGTGATGCCTAGACCACGGCCTTGCCCAACACAAGTTATAAATTTGAGCACCACCGGGAATTGAACCCGGGACCCCAGGCAAAAGACGTAAAATCGATAAATTTTTCCCAAATTCTAGCCTCAATTTTCGGAGCAGTAAACGACAGACTCTTTGGTGGGATTGTGACTACGGGTAGATACAGACACTGTTAAAGGAACTTTACTTTTTACAAAACGTGGTCACTTATTTACGTCCTTCTTATAGTCTGTTGTGTAACAGTGACTTAATTTCAATTTGTCTAGTTTCCTGGTTGTACTTTAGGTTCGAATTTACGTTTAGAAAGAAAAGGTCGATGCTAGAGGGGCTTGTAATTTGAAACATATTTAGATAATATTTTGGTCGTAGAAAGGAACTCCTTTAGAAGAAAGAGACGTGAAATCGGATTAAACCGTTGACACACTTTAATTATTCAATACATTTTGAATAGAACGTAAATTCTATTACAAAAACAATCATCCCTTATTTAAGAGAAATGTTTGTTGGACTGTACAAATTACCATACGTGAATTTTACTCTCGTGCATAGGTGTATGGGTTTATAAGTTTTCTCTGTACAGTAGAAGAATAAATTGGCAGAGTTGTAGTTTGTCTGGCTCTCTTGAGGTTCAGGAGTTAGTAGCACAAACACATTAACTAAAAGTGTATGAATTAACACAGAAATCTTGCTTCTGTTATAAAATTGAATAGACGATTCCAGTCTCGTTTTAGAAGGTTTCGTTCACCGTTATTAATTTTCGTAATGTGCTGAGTAGTTGCAAATTAAATAGGTCTTGTCTTTCACAAAAGAAATAACCAGAATTTAATAGGAGTTATAAAATTACACAGACTCTTATGGATGGAATATGCTCACAACAGAATCAGAGAGAAACCCAGGAAATACACATAAAAGCTCTCATATAAACCAGATCTAGAAGTGAAACTAAAAGAGAAGACTTATACGTTATTGAGAAGCATACGAATTGTGTGGCTTCAAACGACATATAATTTATGCCTATTCAACTACCTCTTAGCGTTTGTATTACAAAATTACCCTGAGGATAGCAGTCAGAGTTTCAGTAGTGCTACTTTTACACGTCAGACCCTACAACTCTTAACCAAAACATAAATTATTCTTCCGTTATCGCTTGTCTTCGTCATAGCATAATCCTCTATACAAATGAGTGTTCTTATACCTTAATTATCCCAAGGAATAAAATATATGTGACCGATACAGATGTTGGGCTAAATTTTCAGATTAATCTGTTAATACGCAATAGGTTTGTTAATATTAAATGTGTATCTATACCGGTACACATGCTACACTGGATGTTCATTTACCAGCGTCATTGAATGACGCAACGCCTGCAAATCAAATGAACTTGAAGCTTGTTAATGCAGGAGAGAGGAGTTACTACGTTAAATAGGGCTGAGGTAGACAGGATTCCTTAAGGTACAGTTACATTTTCTCATGAACGGCTTGGCTACGCACTGTCCCATCTATCTTGTTTATTCTTATACTCTGCCTCTCATTCTGGAAACGTGAGATGATAAAGGTTCGTTGTCTTGCATTCCAGCGTCCTATTCA